GGGCTCCTTGATGCACCTCTCTACTTTGACTGAATAAGGAGCATCAGGATCCTTTTCTAAAGAGATTTTCTTTTTGTGAAGAAAGGAATGACAGGAGGGCGGATGTCTTTCTTGAGACCACTGCTGGAGTCCTGTTTTTCTAGATAAAACTGTTAAGGTATTAAAATTATATCAAAAATATTCTTCATTAAGGATAAGAAAAATGCACACACAGAAAGCAAACACGATACACTAAGAAAAACCTTCGGGTGAGTGCAAGGGTGTCTACTGATCTATATAAGAAAACCTTTGGGTGAGTGCAAGGGTGTCTACTGATCTATAAACACACGTGGACACATGGTACACACGCAAAAACTTTACTTCCCATAAAGCAGGAGAGAAAGACGACCCTCTTTTATGTGAGCTCTGTTGAGAAAGTCATTTCAAACTCGACTTTTAAGCCAGTCAGTTGTTAACTGCTGACTACGAGGATGTGAACGAAGACGGGAGACGCCATCAGCTGAATTTAAAAGGGTGGCTGCAACTCGCTGAGCTAATGGCTAATCTTTCATCTTCCTACCTACACACAGCACGCAACCATCTTAAAAATGTAAAGATTGCCCCAACTTCTTCGTCGTGCATAATAATTCCTTCTTTGTAAAATATTCAGAGGGCTTCAGAAGGCTGAAGCTCCGGCAGGGGAAAAAGATGAGCGTGTGCTGGATCTGCACACCAGAAGGCAGAGGAGCAGGAGAGGAAGAGGAGAGGAAACCCTACTTCCATTTTCATACATAACCTATTGAAAATTTACTTGACTTCCTCGGTTAATTCATCTTCTTCCTCCAACTTTAATCCTTAAACGGGTATTGTTAAAAAGAAGTTTGTATTCCTTCAAAAGACAAGAGAGAAAGAAAATGACTTTGTCATATCTGACTGGTTCGGAAAATATAAAATCCAATTCTGAAGGAGTGCAGATAAGGGAAGAGCTATGGAAGAGCCATCAGCTTAGCAAACACTAAATAATGAAGAATGTAGAGACTGCCCAGCATGATAAAACACTCTATTAGCAAGACTGTTTTTAAATGAGTGATAATTGTGGCACATCCACAGCAAAAGGTTATTGAATTTTTATCTCTAGGAAGGGGCCTTTTGACAGCCTAACCAAAAAGTCCCCATTTTTAGGATTTCCCAAAACATAACCATATTTGCCCAGCTCCAGCTTGGGGTTTCTAAACATTTAGGCCAATGCCTATAAATTGCCCAACTGCAGCCAAGGAAGCTTTGCTGGAAAAGCTACTGACTTCTTACAGGGAAGGAATATGGGGTCACCACCAGCATATTATGAACTTTTTGGAGATGATGGTATTTCTCGCATTGCATCAAAAGTTCTGGTCCCAGTTACTCACCAAGCGCTTGGTGATTCCCTGAAAGGGACTGAGATTTAATCTTAAGTTGCTGGGACCAGAAAAAAGAAACAAACCAAGGCCAGGACTTGTGTTCTCATCAGGTATTGGCCCGACATGTGGTAAGCATGGAAGATAAAACCCCACCACTGCTACCAGTTAATGGGATTACGGCTCTTAGACACTTCAATTTAGCATCTAGTCCAAGGAGAAAAATAAAGCAGAAGACAGAGCTGCTCAAAGGAATGTAACACCTGCCCAAAGTCAGCGACCACAAAAGAGAGCTGGGTGACTAATGGCCCGTTGACTTGCGTGTGACGAAACATGGACTCCAGTGGCACTGAACTGGAATGCTTGGGCTTCATGGGGGCACCTCTTTAAAGTTAATGATGTTGAAATGACAAAGCTGGCCGTGCTTACGGCAATCTGAGCCTGAGTTTTGGTGAGCTTCAGCGCGTGGCAGAAAAAACACCTCTTTATTTAGCTTTGCTTTCGGTCAGTTATTTCCTCTCCTCCCTCCTCCCCCTGATGCTCATTAACATGCTGCGGCTTCCAGCAATGAGAGGCTCAGAAATTCAGATGATCAAACCACGACAGAAAAGAACAGAGTAACTCGCGTGACAGTTGAACGTTTCAGCATTAACATTGTATGAATCTCCAGAACAATAGGTAGTTTTAATTTTTTCCTCCCCTCAGCTCAGTCCGTGAGCATTTGCATCCCTGTTCTCCTCCCGTCCGGGTGGGATGGAAAGAGACATCTCATCTCATTTCCCCTCTGTTGTTTGCTCTTTGTATTCTTCCCCAAAAGGATTGCACTCCCCTGTATATCACCGTACCTTTCCTGGATTCCTAAATACATCTGACTTACACCACCTCCTCTGCCCCACGGCATCACTTCTTACTTCTCCCATACAGATTGCAGTCAGCGCTATTGATGTTCCATTTATGAGATATACTCCACCAGGTTTCATTTATAACCATGAGGTCAACAGCCTCTATCATTTTCCTTCTTTCCTCTTGTTTCAGATACCCCTGGCATTTGTGTACAGACATTTTAGCGCACTGGTATAAAGTTATTACAAAGGAAGATGAATTTTTATTGTCAGGAGGACGCTGCCAAGTGAAATATTACACTTCGTTCTTTTATGTTTATTCACTGCTGCATGTAACGTCCTCTCAGAAGCCTGAAAGTCACGCTCGTGCCCTTTTATGTTTGGAAAATATTGATTTATTAAAAAATCTCAGTTTCAACTAGAACCGAAATTATAAATGATGGTTTTATTTCTAACAACTTTGACTGTCAGAGCACAACTCCTCAGCCTCAAGAACTCTCCCAGACGCTAAAGTTCTGCAAATAAACATTTGGCTACTGAACTTTGATAGCTTTTTCTATTAGGTTTTGTTTTCTTTGATTTTATTTTTTTAAATAATCTTCTAAAGTACACGCTGTGAGAGCCCAGCGATTCTTCCTGTCACTCAGGTACAGAGAACTCAAAGTACAGGTTGAGTACATTCAAGCCATCTGTAGTAGAATATTCAAGCTACCTGTAGTATTTTGGGTCACAGAATCACAGAATCAGAGAATGATATGGGGTTGGAAGGGACCTCTGGAGATCATCTAGTCCAACCCCCTGCCAAAGCAGGTCCACCCACAGCAGGTCCCACAGGAACGTGTCCAGGCAGGTTTTGAATGTCTCCAGAGAAGGAGACTCCACCACCTCTCTGGGCAGCCTCTTCCAGGCCTCTGCCACCCTCACAGGAAAGAAGTTCCTCCTCATTTTTAGGTGGAACTTCTTACATTCAAGTTTGTGCCTGTTACCTCTTGTCCTGTCACTGGACACCACTGAAAAAAGACTGGCCCCATCTTCTTGACACCACCCTTTAAGCATTTATAGGCATTGATCAGATCTTCCTTCAGTCTTCTCTTCTCCAGACTAAAATTTAATTTATAGCTAATTGTATAATCTTAATTATCGTTCTGGATCCCAACAAAATGATCACGGACAGCTGCAGTAAAGAGTTTAAAGGTCCTGCTCTAGAGTAGAGTTATAAGCCCTAGGAAGAGGATTGTCAGCCAACTAGCAATGCTCTGCTGTCCAAGGACAATTATTTTAACAGAGATATAACACTATTTTAACAGAGATATAACACTATGACTTTGTTTAGCACCAGCAAAATTTCCCCCAATAAAAAGGCTGAGGTGATTTTCAAGGCCAATTTCCCAGGAGAGCTCAGAAGATCTGGCTGCCCACAGGCCTGCTCCTCTGTGGGCACCTTCCCCCAGGACTCTGCTCCCTATTCATGGGACAAGTTGCAGAGAAGCTGTGGATCTTCCCTGTCTCCCCATGTGTGCTGCGATCCCACCAAGCTGTGTGGGCTTTTTTATGCCATACTTTCATAGAGTCATAGAATTGTCTCGGTTGGAAGGGACCTTTAAGATCATGGAGTCCAACCATCAACCTAACACTGACAAAACCACCACTGAACCATGTCCCTCAGCACCACGTCTGCCCAGCTTTTAAATACCTCCAGGGATGGAAATTCCACCACTTTGGAGATGCCTCCTTCCACACCCCAGGCAGCTGCATTTCATATAACCCCTAGACAACAGGGGATGTTCAATAACCGTAAAACACCCAATATTTTATCACAGGGACGTAGGGCAATATGAAGTGCTCTAAGAAATGCATGGCCGTCTCCCAAGGGACAACCTGTGACGCAGGACAGCTATGGGGAATGTCTGGGTAGGGAGGTGAGACCCAAACCCCTGGTCTTAGGAAAAGCTTGACCCCGTGTCAGCTGAGCTATAGGTGTCTCCTGGGGAGTTAACAGCAGTGAGGAGGTGTTGGTGGAAAGCAGCAGAGCTAAGCCCTGTTTCTGATGAGCTCTGCTTCTGGGGCACAGTCACAACCCTCCTCTGAACGTGACCCCGTGGAAACCAGGCCAATGACAGTGATAAGGAGAGAAGCAACACTAACCACGTCTCTAGCACTTCCCAGACATGTAAAAAGACCCACTATTCCCTGGGGGAAGGAACGAAAGCTGAAGCACGGAGAAGTGAAACGATCTCACAAAGGTAGGGGGGGCAACCCTTGACAGCCAGGAGAAGAAGAGGAGTCTCCAGGCTCCCCTCTCTCTGCCCTCCCGACACCCCAGTTCACCAGGGGTTGCTCTGCCTTCTCAGGCTGAGCATCAGTGCCCCAGTGACACGCACGTCAGGGCATTCCTCATTAAGACCTTAATTTCTCTACTGAATTTATAATACATGCATATTTTTAAATATTCAGTGATCTAGTGATGCTTTAAAGAAAATGAAACCTGCCTCGGCACCGATACCTGCTCCTGTGCAATGTCATTAGCAGGGGCTGCCAAAAAACTCAAGCGTTGAAAGGTCCTTCAGAGCTTATGTTAGAAGTGATGGCACCTTCACCTGGTGCCCACCACAGTCTGAGCAGATGTCACACCAGGAAGAAAGAGATGGAGCTGCTTTGGTTTCTACTTCCCTCTCACATTAACCCACTTTGAAACCAAGAACAAAAATGTCCGCTCCTGCTAAAATCCCGTATTTATGCTCGTTTTCATTTCCAAGACAAAGGTTCTCCTCTGGGAGCTACTTACTTTGGGTGGCTGAGAGGTTGGAGAGGGCTGCCTTGGTGCGACCTGCTAACCACTCCAGGCTCTCGTGCATGTTGGCCAAGGCCTTCAGGTCACTGACATCTCGCAGGATCTCCTGTTGAGGGATGAGTTTATCCCCCAGGTTGCCGATGAGAACTTCTGACTCTTTGCCGAAAGCCGCCCTGAAATGCAAAGCAAAGCCACCCTCAGAAACACAGCACAGGACAGCGAGGAGGAGACACCAGTTACACCATGGAGAAGGCCAAACAAGCCAATGTAGACCTGTTCCAGGTCTCAGGGGTCTCAGGAACATTGTCTGGTGGAGTTTTTGAGGTCTTATTACAGTGAATGACACCTTTACCTCAGGGAGGTTTTTTCTATCCTTCTCCCTCCATATCCAATCTCTGATTTTCACCTCGTTCCTTTATTACAGTGAACGACACCTTTATCTCAGGGAGGTTTTTTTTCTATCCTTCTCCCTGCATATCCAATCTCTGATTTTCACCTCGTTCCTCACAGTTAGAAATGTCATCCCAACCATCTCCCACCCCTCTTCCCCCCGCCCAGCATCTACACCTTGCTGGGTGCTTTCCATGTCTCCCTGGGATCTTTATAAACAACACATATGTAGTACTTTTAATCTTTCCTTGTAAATCAGCTCCTCCAATCCCCGATTCACCTTTTTTTCAGACATCTATCAAAAAAAATCTCCTCTGGAACTTGATGGCTTATCATGAAAAAGTGAGAAACAAAGGACTTTTAAGATCAGTCCGTGCATTATTTTACTTGCATGGAGACAGCACCTGGTGAAAAATGACGACCAGATCAAACGTGTTTCCCCCCCAAAAAGCTAAAAGAAGTTCTTTCAAGGTGTGCAACTGCTACATCTTCTACATTGCAGATTTAGCTTTCCCAATACCTATCTCTTCAAAAAGCTTGTTTGGTTACATCCCAGAATGAGTTGTATGGCAAATCCTCTCATTGCTTTTGCTTGTAAAGGAGCTCTCCTCCAGCATGACTTTTTTGTGTACCAAGAGGATGAAGAAAATCAGGACACGGCTCCTACGTCTAATTACAACAGCTCCTGGCTGAAACCAAGTGCATTTCATTGAAAGACTCTAAGTGTCGGCACATTTATCATGGTCCTCAGTGCACTCTTCCCATCATTAGTTGCTCTTTTTGTTATGAATTTGCATTCCACTTTCATTCAACTTTGCAAATCTCCACTTCCTGTCATTAGCTCTTTTATGAACTTACAATGAGGAATCATGCTGCCGAGCATAATAGCTGCAACGAGCTGCAGCAAAATAATCCCATCAGTGGCATTTTATACACTATCTAAGCAGTTTTATTGCCAGCGTCTCCCTAGATTTGTGGGACTTCACTGTCACTTGAGAAAAAGGGAAAAAACAAAAAAAAGAACGACCCTGAAATGGTTTTAAATTGCTCAATTGAATTCACTAGAGGCAAAAAATAAAAATAGCCTTCATTAAAAAAATCTCTTCGAGGATTTTCTCCTCCTTGACAATAAAAAATATGCTGCCTTAGGCTGTATCCCGCATACTATGGCTTGGGAGGAATCCTTATCTGTTGGCTGAGAACTGAGATGGAGGAACATCTCCAACTCCAGGGGACTATGGCAGCAGTAACTCAGCTGTTCCTCCTCTCTGTAAGATGGGGTTCGCTTTGATCCACTCTGGCTATTGGAAACACATTAAACCCTTTCTGAACTTCAGGAAAACCCTAAACAACCTTCCCTGACTGGGCATTTCTTAGATAGTCAGAGGAAGCTACAAAGCTTTGAGGAGTGAGGACAGCTGAGCATCGCATCCAAAGTCCACATGGTGAATACAAGGTTCAACTGGGTGGACAAGCTCAAAGCCAGGCTTGAACACCTTTTTCTTTGGTAGAGCATCATTCATACAAAGAAAACATGTTATTGACTTCTACAACAAACACAAAACACCTCACTTAGCTCTACCCACCTACAAACACTCAGATATCACAGAATCACAGAATCACATGGGGTTGGAAGGGACCTCTGGAGATCATCTAGGCCAACCCCCCTGCCAAAGCAGGTCCACCCAGAGCAGGTTGCACAGGAACTTGTCCAGGCAGGTTTTGAATGTCTCCAGAGAAGGAGACTCCACCACCTCCCTGGGCAGCCTGTTCCAGGGCTCTGCCACCCTCAAAGGAAAGAAGTTCCTCCTCATGTTTAGGTGGAACTTCTTATGTTCAAGTCTGTGCCCATTTCCTCTTGTCCTGTCCCTGGGCACCACTGAGAAAAGACCAGCCCCATCCTCTTGACACCCTCCATATCCTCATCTGTTCTGTGGAGCAGAAGACATTTCACAGATACACTTCTCCCCCTCCAACCAAACCACTCCCGTTGACTATCAAATCCCGCTGGCAACCGCAGCAATCACTCAGAAGAATAAGAAATGAAACATTTGGTGAATTTCTACCTTTGTTAACGTGGCTTTCAAATACAAAATGCCACAGAAAAAGCACTTTTTTGGAGAAATACAATTTGAGAGCTGTTAAACGAGGAGTCACTACCACGCCGCTGCCCACGACCGCGATCACAAATCCGGTTTTATCACAGGGACAACTCTTCTGCCTTCCCACACGCAAAGAGAAACTGTTTTGGCACCGCTGTGGATGAATAGCCTGTGCATGAATAATACAGTGCTTTCAGTCAGGCTTGGAAAAAAAATCTATATAATACAAAGCAGGGCGTAGTTCCTATTTTTGTTCCTGGGAGGAATACAAATAAGGCCTTCTACGGGAAGCTGTGCTCTAAAATGTTGTTGGGATCAATGTGATTCTGCCACTCACTCTGGAACAACAGAAATTTGTCTAAAAAAGGGCAGCAAATATATTTAATTGCTTTCTTTAATACCTATCCTTGACTGCAGAAACTCCAATTCACTCTTTGGCAAAATCAGAACCTTTTAATAGAGACAACCTTCAGCAAGTAACTCCCTTTTAGAAGATGACTGTAAAAAGTTCTGGTGGATTCCTGTAATTTCAATTTAAACCTGCTGTTAGCAAACGTCTCCCTGAAGCAAATTTTCGCTCGTGTAATGGGTGCCTGCTTGACAGAATATTCACTACATGCTTTGCTTTGTCTTTATTAAATTTGCAAGGCTAAACACTTAAAGGGAAGGATATAAAAAAAAACAAAATCAAGTGAATATCCAGCCTTAGCTCTGCTCTTTTGAATACCTGCATTAAGGTAGCATCTTCAGACCTTTGATTCCCGTATATAGTATAGGAAAATTTTTTTCACTGAAAGGGTCATCAGACATTGGAATGGGCTGCCCAGGGAGGTGGTTGAGGCACCATCCCTGGAGGTGTTCAAAAGACAGGTTGATGTAGTGCTGGGAGGTATGGTTTAGTGATGATGCTCCTTGTTTGTTGTGTGGGTGTCTATTTTTGTCAGTCAGGTTGACGGTTGGACAAGATGATCTTTAAGGTCCCTTCCAACCTAGAAGATTCTGTGATTCTGTGATTCTCAGCCAATAAGACCTACAGTTTTATCGGTACATGGGTATCTGAGACAGAGCCAGCACATACAAAGGGATCTACAGCCACCTTCTGCATTTAATTTACGAGTTTTTGATGGGTCAGTGGGTACTCTTGGTCTGAATTACCGCGATTCTGAAAACCCAAATCCCACCCTACCTTACCCACGAAGTTTGCTTTGGGCTTTGCCAAAGCTTCTGAGAACAAGAAAAGATCCTGCAGCTTTTGGTGAGCGCCCAAAGATGGAAATTTCCAGCCACGGAGATGATGTATTTTAGAACGGGGGAAAAATTCATAACCAAGTAGTTCAAAACAGAGTGTTTACGGAACTGTAGCAAAAGACAAAGTTCCACTCTCCTGCGATTAATTCAGCTGTGCATATACCCACGCTCAGGACGGAGATTAATATCACATATCAACCACACTGCGAATAAAGCAAATTCAAGTGCCCTTCTCTCCTGACCAGCTGTTTCTTTGTGGAAGCTCTTACACTCTTCCTCACCACCATGCGGCTTCCCTGCCCTTTGGTCCTGATTCCCATGGGATTTGTGCGCATCGTAACAGGGTTCACTCTTAAATCTCCACTTCATCAGAGCAGACCAACTGCGCTGCCTTAATCCTCGGATTATTTCTCGGGAGAAATAATCCCCTGCACCAGGAGAGGTTGTGGGGGACCTGCTAGAGAGCAGCTCTGAGGAGAAAGACCTAGGAGTCCTGGTGGACACCAGAATGGCCATAAGCCAACAATGGGCCTTTGTGGCCAAGAAGGCCACTGGCATCCTGGGGGGCATCAGGAAGAGTGTGACCAGCAGGTCGAGAGGGGTCATCCTGTCCCTCTGCTCTGCCCTGGTGAGGTCCCATCTGGAGCACTGGGTCCAGTTCTGGGCTCCCCAGTTCAAGAAGGACAGGGAACTGGTGGAGAAGGTACAGCAGAGGGCTACCAAGATGATGAGGGGCCTGGAGCATCTCTCTTATGAGGAGAGGCTGAGGGACTTGGGTCTTTTAGTCTGGAGAAGAGAAGACTGAGGGGGGATCTGATCAATGCTTTTAAATACTTAAATGGAGGGTGTCAGGAGGATGGGACCAGTCTTTTTTCAGTGGTGCCCAGTGACAGGACAAGAGGAAATGGGCACAAACTTGTACATAAGAAGTTCCATCTAAACACGAGAAGGAACTTCTTTCCTGTGAGGGTGGCAGAGCCCTGGAATGTTCTGCCCAGGGAGGTGGTGGGGTCTCCTTCTCTGGAGACATTCAAAACCCATGTGGACACGTTCCTGTGCAACCTGCTCTGGGTGGACCTGCTTTGGCAGGGGGTTGGACTAGATGATCTCCAGAGGTCCCTTCCAACCCCATGTGATTCTGTGATTAACCAAGCACCTCGTTTTGTTTCCCATGTTAAACCACCTTAGTATCTTTTTTTTTTTAAACTTTCCAAACAAAGTGACCACCAATGTGTCTGCTTTAGATCCACCCAGGTAGACCTCCTTCCCCCTCCTCTCCTCCAGCAACCAAGACAGGTGTCCACTTTAGATCCACCCTTTTCTCATGAGTACTCTGTAGGATGCATAGCGCATCCTTGGCATGGTACCGGCAGGGATGGGGAGAAGACGGTGCCCTGGTACCCCAAAGAAGTCTTCTTCAGGCAGACCGCCTT